ATACATACATACATGTACACACACATACAAAAACACCCAAACACAAATATAATATACATATGTACATAATATATACATACATACGTACATACATAGTTACATAGGCGGACAGACGGACAGACAGATAGGCAAACTTACATACATACATACATACATACATATATACATTTGTGCATGTAATCACACACAGATACGTCTGCACACATAAACTTCTACATATTTACACACAAAAATGAATGAAGTTATCTATGACAAATAATGACAAATACACAGACAGAAACAAGGTGCATGTGTACAGGCACCCCCCCCAAGGACCAACCTCGACCCTGGAATTGCTCACAGCTAGAATCTGTGTCGGGTAGTACTATCTACAGATTGTAGTCATAATACCATGCTAAAACAACAGGCTCCACGTTCGTAGCCACATGTCTTGCCGTTTTTGTCTACCTGAGGTCACGTCGCGTACGTATGCAATATTTATCAGTATGTTTCCTATTATCTAGAATTCGAGTAGTAGTTGCCATTCAGGTAGTGCTGCTTCGCTTAGAGTGCGTACCCGGCTAATAATCAGCCCTCGCTGAACATTTCACAGTTTGTGGCCTCGCATCTAAATGATGCTCATGGGGTACTTATGTCACGCATGTATGCATGAGCTATCTATTTTCAGTAGTTTCGATACATGTGACAGTAGTTTCGATACATGTGACATGTGTTTTCGCTTTTATACGGGTTAAGGTGTAGCCAATATCGGAATAGCTATTAAACATATGATATTGAAAAACCGGCCACATACGCTAAGCAAATGTTGGACAATTATATATATATATATACATATATACATATAAGTACAAATATATATATATATATATACACATATATATATATATAGATATATATATATATATAGATATATATATATATATATCGAGCTAGATAAATATGTGCACATGTGTATTGCTTACGGCAGCCCCGGCACGACTTAAGCACCAGACGAGTATTCAAACAACATGAAATTACCAAAATGTCTAATTTCAACAACAGAAGAATCTCAACACAGGAAACTTGAAGGTGTCTGAGAGCGATACTTGAGTACGCGCGAGAGAGAGAGAGAAGACAGTTCGGGCAAATATGTCGGGAATGCAAGCAGATGCAAATTTCCAATATTGCCAAAATTTCAAAAACTCAAAAAAAATCCTGAGTGGAAGTTGTAGAATTCCGCAATTCCCAAAATCTCCCAACCTACGGAACCAAGTTGTGGTTCCAATTTATCCAAAACCTCAGACTTGTTGGAATTTTTGGAGTTTCGGAATTCCAAACCATCTGAGAGTGAACTGATGAAATCTTCGGAATCGTCGAGATTTCATGTGAGAGGTATCCATGCATGCATGCATGGATGGATGCTCGCGCATTCATCCGCACACATCTTCTCAACCTGCCTGAAGATAAGAGCCACAACAATTCAAACAATCTTTGTGGTCGTGTCTAGCTCTCACATGAGGACGGAAGGTCAGCGTCATTGTGGGAGTTGGTTGCAATGGTAACCAAATGTCTGACCCATTGGACATTGTTGGACAGCGGAGTTTAATAATGACTCATGCTGAACGATATCGGCCATTGAGCGTACTGGTTAGGTAAGAAAGCTCCCATTAACTCTGATAGAGCAGTTGGTGCTATTCCGTTGATTTTTTCTAATGTACCTGCATGCATGTATCCGCGAACCCCACGCATCGAAAGCACCCTGAGCGTCACTCTGTCCAAAGACAGCCTTGCCTGGCTCGACTTGGAGGTCATCCGCCGCACCTTCGCTTCACCTGCTACGCTTTAGCCGAAAGGCCCGAACGTCGACTTTAGCCGTGGTCCAGCCTGAATCCTGAGACCCTCAACTGAAGACCTTATAGTGAAAATTACACCCTACTCCCGAACCCAAAATTCAGAACTCTCTACATCCTGACCGCACTCCCGGAACTCTGCTCGTCGCTTAGAACACCTCTTCACGGAAACCCTCTTTCGCCGGAAGGCCAAGACAGAGAAAACACATTCAGGGTCACCTCGGCCGGATGCTGGAGTCTCTGGCTCTTTCTTTTTCCCTCAGCTCAACGGTTCAGGGTTTAGGGTTTAGGGTGTTTCGGCACATATATCTGTCCAAATACATACTTATGTATGTTAAGCACGTATACCCACATGGATGCATGCATGCACACATGCACGTGAGTAGGTGTATGTACCGATGCATCGCTGCGTCTGTGTGCACCTACGCAAACCTTTATACATGTAAGTATGTGGGTATGCAGGTATGTAGGTATGCATCTATCTATGTGTCTATGTACATATGTATCTCTGTATGTATCCATGTATGTACCTGTGTATGCATCTCTCTGCCCATCTATCTGTCTGCCTATCTAAATATCTACCTGTCTACCTATCGATCTTTTATCCATGTAGCTAAATATGTATGTGTGAGAAAAATATGTACATGTGCATGTACACATACATGCGTATGTGTATGAGCAGGTGTCTGTGCATGTGTATGTGTGCATGAGCGTATGTGCACACATGCAATATGTATGGGTATTCGAATGTGTATGTGTGATAAATGTGTATGTTTATGTTGTGCTGCTTGGAGAGCGACATTAAGGTGGACAAAAACCTAAGCGACAAATCTTACACATTGCATACAACACACAACTGTAGCTTCAGGCTACACTTTACATATTAATATGGGTACATGGTATTCATGCATTTGCTCAAGCACATGCGTAGCTACAATTGCTTCTTAACCAAGAGGAAGCCACAATCACCAGAACATACTACGGTCTTGCCATCAACCAAAAAACACACCGTAACAAAAGGTCTCTGGAAAGCTGCTAGGTTCAACCAAGGCACCGCGGCGAATGCATTTCGAAATGCGCTGCCACTTCTCTTGCAGGGATGCTGTCCGCTCCTGGATCCAACCTTTGCAGTTCCTTTGTCTTTTCTTTCGGGCCTCTTCCTCGGTAGGTCAGGCCGGGATTCAGGGCAGGGTTTTAAGTTTGGGATTTATGGGTTACACAGGCTCAGTAATACCGGTTAGGGGTTTGGGGTCGCTCAGACATGTCGCTAGCGCAGCTTCTTGCACGACCTGCCCCCAGTCAGATGCTGGGTCATCAGGGTCGTACAGGTCTGCGTCATCGTCCTCATTGCACGCGAAGGAACATCCAAGAAACCTGGCTCTGAACAAAAACGCAAAAGAGGACCGCACTTGGCGCGCCGGCATCAAAGCGGAACAGTCACACCTTCACAAAATGCATGGGCCACCATGTGCAATCAATGAACGAGGCTCAATCACAGCCTGACATCGAAGATTTGCATGAGGCGCACCTTCTTAGTCTGTAAGTTTGGAGGCTCTCACATCATCGGAATGCAGAGAGCAGTGCTTTTTGCAGACGCTGTGGGCTGCACAACCACTCCAACGACCAGGATCATCACCAGCACAGCAATCTGAGCGTCGGTGTGCCCATTAAGCTCTGCAAGGCTTCTGGTATCCCGAAGAACCTACATCCTTTGTTTCTCTCCATCCCTCTCGCCATGGGTGCAGGGGGCCGGCACAGATTTCAGGAAGCCGACCTGTTCTGGCAGGCAGCTGTCCCGACATACACCGAGACGTCTGGTTGACTGAAGTACATCAGCTCGTCCACCGTCGCTGTTTCATAATTTACCTCGGACCGCTGCGATCCGGCACTAAACGACGATGAGGTTCAAGCAGGGCGAGGTGCCGTGAAGAGGCACGGCCATGAACCAGAAGGGCACCTCAACATTATGCAGCCATGTCCTCTGCATTTACATTTGCAGGCATCCCCGTGCTGACAGCCTGTAATCCCTTTCTGCAAGGATATGCTTATGCACTCATGCTCTGCCAAGATTGTAACTTCCTGTTCGAAACGCATCTATGAGAATTTCCCTTCCAACAAACGCCCCAAAAGCGCTAGCTGGGTTGAAAGATGTACATACATGCATACATACATACATACACACACACCCCTTCAATTTGTGTTCGTTGCACGCCTATAGATTTAAATGGAGAATGGTGTTTGCAAAGTTGTGTGGTACTACCTGTGTTTGTCTGTCATACGCTTCTGGCATATCAATGTCAATGTGGTGTTATTGTCTAGGAGACTCGCGCTCCAATTGCGTAGACCATTGTCTATACACACATATGTATGTGTATCTGTGTATATAT